AGTAATTTTTCTTTGTCCAACTGTCACTGTAATTTGTAATATTACCATTTAGACGCTGAAACTACCTATGCAAGGTAGCCTTGTTAGAAATATAGTGTGCCAATTTTTGTTCAATAAATCAGTACGATCCACGATCGGTAACTCGTTCATCCTAGTCAAGCTCAAAGCTACCGACACGGGCCCACATCGGGAGTCTCCTCCTCCCTTGGAGTTGTGTGGTGCCGACGGTGGCGGATGGTAGTCTCTGCCTTGACAATCCTATCACTCCCTCTCACAACGAGAGGTGAACTACTAGCGGTATACACTGCTAGCGGTTCAAGTGGTGACCGGCTACTTTCAGCCGTGCCACAATATCATTGCACATATTTCGCATCCGATAAATGCCCCACCGGAATATGAAAGCCCACAAAGTAAGCTTTCTAAAAATGTATATTAGTCATAAGTCAGTGATGGCTTATGCTACTTTTGACGCGATTGTTTTCGTTATCGGTCGATATAACATACACTTTTACTATATTCCAATGCGTACAACTCAGTCAAATTTGAATATTACGTTAATGCCCCAGTAGATAATTAAACATCAATTAATTGCCGTTCAAATGATGTTACGCATGCCTCAATGGTGCCTACCCTAAGCTACTTTTTTCTCGTGTCTTGATAAGCAAGCACTAGGCAAAATTGTGGTATCACCATAATTAACTAATAAAATTAATGAATAAATGACACCTTCGATAAATGCCCCACCGGAATACGAAAGCCCACAAAGTAAGCTTTCGAAAAATGTATATTAGCCACAAGTCAGTGATGGCTTATGCTACTTTTGACGCGATTGTTTTCGTTATCGGTCGATATAACATACACTTTAACTATATTTCAATGCTTACAACTCAGTCAAATTTGAATATTACGTTAATGCCCCAGTAGATAATCAAACAGCAATTAATTGCTATTCGAATGATGGTACCCATACCCCCATTGCGCCTAGCCTAAGCTGCTTTTACCCCCTGTCTTCATTGTCATTTGCCAATCACTGGGTGCAATAGCGGTCTCAGGCCTTATCCGGGCAAAAATGATTTTTAGGGTGAGAGGACAAACGCTAAAGCTATTTCTTCCAAATGTGGCTACTTAAGCGTTTCAAATAAGAGTAAAATTGGAGAACTTTACTCACCTGAACATAATTTACTTAATCTTAAAAATTGACTATCTAATCAAAGTATCAGTAGGCATGATCCAAACATGTAGGTACCTAGGCATGGCGGCGATGGGAGATACCTGTCAGGGTGCGGGCCAGTTATTTTCATGTTCAATCTCTTCATATTGACGCAATCAACGTCACGTAAATATAGAATGTATATTCTTCGCAAGTAGCATATCAATACATTTATCACAAATCTAATGCAGTCACATAAACACATTTTGACACGCACGCTCACGCACCAGATTCTGATGCGCCAACATTTTGATAGGTGCACATTCGCTCGCAATTCAAGTCACATAACAATTTTTAGCTGCCTTCAACAGTCGGCGGCCGTCCTGCGTCAAGGCATGTCACATTCCGTCCTGTTTTTCAACAGGTTGTTGGGTAAACACTTGCATAGATTCTGCCCGCCCAGTAGTTAAATCGCAAAAATGAAATAACTGAATACGAAGAAAAAAAAAACGGGCCAATCATGGACAACAAGAACACCGACAGGAACATTTTCATTAAGTTCGCAACCTCGTGGCGAAGTTAATCGAGATCACGACTTATCGTCCTATAGGTTCATGACTTTTACACACTTTAGAAGTAGCAGTCGCAGCTGCATCCCGCTTTGGAGGCCGAGGAAATCCATGGCAGGAGGGCAAAAACAAGAAAAATATGGTTTTGTGACGGCCGGCTTTATCTAAATTACTGAACTCCACTTTTCGTCCCGAACAGTGATTTTTCCTCGGCATGCTATTTTACTCTGAATGAACTCGTGACTCGAGGTTTAGGAATTTCGCGCCGATTGAAGTTCGTCGGAAGCACGGAGGACGTTTCTTTGTCTAGGACGAGTGGTACGCGTGCCTCCATTGCGTGTAGCCCCACTGCGTTTCCAGCTGGCAAATCTCGGTGCTGACGATGTCCTTTAGGTCCACTAAACGTTGATGCACGTAGGTGTCGCACTCATCTGTAAAGAAAAGCCAAATTGTCACAAAAACATTTTCTTCAGGGTCACTGTCATTCACCAGAAGGCTCATATTTAAAACCCCTTAGCCCTAGGTAAAAAGATATTATGAGGAATTTCGGTCCCCACTAGTGAAACTTCACATTCATGCGTGAACAGCCTGATGGTAATATTCTTATTTGTAAAAAAATAAATACAAACTGATAACTGACACTGACACTACTATGAATCAGCCCAGAAAAAAAGAGCATACTACCTAGGTACTTGACAAATGGGATACCAATTTCAAAGAAAGTAAGTCAATTTTTCAAAGCAGCCTGAATTAATATATGCAGGCTAGAAGCATATGCCTACTATCTGAGGAGTTAACAAGCAGCCGTTTAATAAGTGGGTTGCAGACTGCAGAGCCACCACAACAATTCTTGAAACTGCACATGAGTGACACATGTTCTGATTTCAGCAGCTTGTTGTAATGGCATTGGGTGGTAATGGCATACTAATAAATTTAGTAGGCACTACTTGTTGCATCAATGTTAAATAGGGAAGATCAATACATACTCGGGAAGCTGATGTCAAAGGTAGTTATGAAAGAATCACTTCAAACAAGTTATGAAAATGTTGTGAAAGGGTTCCAAATAATTTACAAAAGGGCAGTGTCGAATGACTCATCACAAAATTATATTAATGCTTGGGTGTTAGAGGGGAAAATTCCTCTCCAAAAAAGGGATGAGGGTGGTATATTCTTGATAAGGTTAGCCCCCCCCCCCAAAAAAAAATAAAGAACAGAAGAAGGAAAAATTGCACTTTCCTGTACAATGGTAGAATCTGATGCGATCATGCAATTAGATGCTCTTTCATGAGTGGTAAATTGCTATTGAAAGTTGGAGGTGGGAGTGGAAAATTATTTTCATTTGGATGTCTTGTTCCACCCAAATTGACAAATTTTGGGACACTGCCGGAATGAGTTATGAAAATTTTGCCAAAGGGTTCAACAAGTAAACAAAAGTGTTGTTTGAAATGAGTTATGTAAAGGCTGTGAAAGAGTTATGAAGAATTTGCAAAAGGGTTCCTTCAAAAGAGTTCCGAAAAGATTCCGAAAGAGTTACAATGAGTAAATGAAGAGATTTTACAAATGAGATATGAAAAAGTTGTCAGAGGGTCACAAATAATCTATGAGAAATTTGCTTTAAATGAATTATGAAAGGGCTGTGACAGGGTTACAATAAGTTAATGAAAAGCCTCTTTCGAATGAGTCAGGAAAATGTCGCCAAAGGGTTGCAAATAATTTACGAAAGGGTTATTTTGAATGAGCTATGAAAATATTGAACATAGTTAAAAAAAGTTATGAAAGGGTTGCTCTGAATAAACTAATAAAAGGCTGAGAAAGGGTTACCATGAGTTTACGAAAGGGCTGTTTCAAATAAGTTATGAAAAGGCTGCGAAAGGGTTACGAAGGGCTTGCGTAAAGGCTTAGTGAAAGGGTTGTGACCTAACAAGTTGCGAAAAAATCACAGCAGCTTTAGGAAAAGAATATGAATGGATAAAGAAGTAACAAATTTTGTTGCAACAAGTGAGGAACAATGTCACACTAATGGGGCTATAATTATACTCAGAAATAAAAAGCATCTCAGTCTAGTCCATGAAGACTGAAGAGCAGGCTGCACTTAATTGGTGGCTTACCTCGAAATCACTGGCCGACTCACCCCTTCCACTAGATTGATCGGGCGATTAAACACCTTTTTCAAATAACGGAACCCCAGGCAATTGCCTAAAACCCAGAAGAAACGTTTGAACCGCTGGAAATGCCGAGGAAATTGGCGGCAATATACAGGGAGGGTACACTGCGCAACAAATGTCTCATAAGCGCATGGAACGTATGCAGTTTCCAAAGCTCTTGATAATATCAAGAACATGTTTTTTTTTCTTCTAATCCCCATCTGGCCAAATGTCCGCCTTTACATGGGGCCTGCACCCTAACACGTCGGAGCACGGTCGTGTCTCGCGACAGGACATCGACAGCTGCGGGACGGACAGACAATGACCGGTGAGCCCGCACCGTCTAAAATAGACTATGTACGGTGTGGTGTCGACCGACATTGATTCCGTCGCTGGTCTCGTCATATATTATGTTATTTGGTCTCATGTTTTCTGGCTATACGGCGTGCTTTCAAGAATATCGAGACACTGACACTGTGTCAATAATTTAAATCGTTTCCAGCCGTCGACTCATCGTTACTTGCCGGAAACTTCGAAGAACAAATCACTCGTGGTCAAAATGAAATGCATCCATGCTCGACTGGAAAGGAACTTCTCATGGTCCTGCGAAAATTCAAGTCGTCACTGCCCTATTCATGGCTGATGTTGTCATGGCTCCTGTCAAACGTCTTCCGCCGGTGAATTTTTAATGAATCACCGAAGCCTTTGGCGGATGGTGACCAGTTTTATGCTGCCGTAGCCGCTTTTGCCATATATAATACAGGTACCGTCATTACATTTGTGTATGCATTCATCTGGTTATGATGCACATTTTTACGGTGTCTGGGACGGGGTCCAACAATCATGTCATGCAAATGGCAGGTGCTATAGAATCAAAGCTTGAAATCAGGAGTATGATACACGAATTTAAAGTCATTTTGGTCCTGAGATTGGCGTGGTACGTACAGTCAGTTGCCATGGACCATTTATACTTTGCAGACATTCCTGATAACTATGTGACATAATATCTTTCTTTTAGAAAGCATTTGTCTTGCGTATTATACCTATATGTTCCCTGCGTATATGCTGGCTCCCCAGTCGAAAGCAGACGGTAGCTTATGCAACCAGTTTCTTGGTATATGCATTTGATACAGCTATTTTACTTCCGTTCAGTTGAGCGGACGTCAGTCCTCGGCAGCTGAGTGATTTGCTCGTCTCCGGGCACGCCCGGTTTGCTGACGGCCGGATGACGTGGGCCACGACCCTCGACGGCTGCCGGCCGGGCGAGGCTCGGTTCCGACTCCAGAGGCAGGGGGAGGACGTGTCGGCAGTGTGACCAAGTGACCCAGAATGCCTGTCAAGACTGTCTGGAGAAGACTGAAACGCCCTTCCGCTCACCAAGGAGCACCTTACATGGGATATGCTGGTAAGTAATGATCATTTGGTGCATTTGGCGTTTTGTAGGGGCTGTCCTACCATATGAACGAGCCGACGTGAGTGGTTTCGGCCACTGACAGCCAACTGGGGATTGGAGAGAACGGCCGGTGAGAGTGGCGCGGGCAACGGGGTCCTAAAGTTTTCTGATTGGGGGACCGAAAACCGCAATCGTCGCGATGAGTAAAGGTGTGGCTTTGAAGTCTACGTGAGAGCTGTAGACTGCGATACACACAGCTCCCACTGACGCTGTCATGGCTCTCCGCCTCTGTTCCCAGGACGGCACGTGCCATAATGACCGTGGGAGACCGCCCTCATCGGTGCGACCACAAACGTTTAGTCGGCAACCAACGCAGTCGGCGGGGCGAGGCGGAAGGGCCGCTCTCCGTGCCGTCGTACCGACGCAAGGCCGCTCATGGCCAGGCGCCGGCGGCTGCAGGCGGCCCCTGGTGACGTCACCGGTCGGCGCCGCCTGGCGACGGCGTCCAGCGGCTCCCAAACCGGCGGCGCGCCGCCCGCAGACGAGCGCCGGCCGTGTCGGAGTGAGGGGCGCGCGCGGCGGACAGAGCAGTGAGCCAGAGCCGGGCGCAGAGGAAGAGCTGTGGGTGAACTGAGCAGCGCGGGGGGCGCGGCCGGACAGGCGGGCGTGCGGGCCGACAGGACAGGGCGTGGACCGGTGACGGCGGCGGCCGCCATGGCTGGAGAGTGGGACGGAGGCGGGGGATCGCTGGGACTACTCGGCAGGACGAACGGAGCCGAGCCGCCCCACCTGACAGCCGCCAGGACCCGGACGAGAAAGGGCCGACTGGACGTCAAAAAACGACCCCTGGTGAGTGTTCGATCTGACCTGTTCTGCTCGTCAGATGTCCATGTGCATTGTCGGATGTGATTTAACCCGTACTCATGCGATGTTCCACCCAGCTGATATTGTACTGTTACGATTTCGTCTGCGATCTTAGCTCGCATTATCCTTTCATCATTCTCGTAATAAGTGCAAGCCCATAAGGGGCTTGACATCAAATATGCATGGTCACTTAAATTTGTACGTTCCGCTCACGCTGTGAGACGTACAGGTTTCGACTCGTTAACTATTGAAGTGCTTCGACCGGGTAACTGCCGTGGCTATTTCCTGTTCGACTCACGCTCGTCCATTATTGGAAACAGCTGCAACATCTGTCACCGGCGTCGTGCCTCCGGTAACCACGCACTGCGTGCTGCGAGCTGTCATTGTGTGCCGAGGAGAGGTGGGCACTCGCGTGTGACCCCTGCAGCGGAGTCGTTACGACGGCGGTGGCCGCTCTAGCCGCCATGTGTGCCCGGGCGGCCTGTCACTGTGCAGGAGTCGGTGCAGGGCGGCCGGGAGCGGGCGCTGCACGGCTGCTCCGTGCCGGCCGCCGGCCTCCCTCCGCCGCGGGGCAGAGGCCGCGCCGGCCGGCGCCGTCTGCAGATCGTCACTGGGCCGCTCTGTTTAGATCGGGCGTCCGTCACTGGCGTCACGTGACGGCGTTTTGTCAGTGGAGATGATGACACGGGGCACCACTGGCCGGGCGGACGGTGGACGGAGCTGCACAGAGTCGCCCGTTACCCGGCCGGCGACGGCTCTTTGTCCGCCGCACTGGCCCCGGCAGCAGCACGAGCAGAGCCTCTGTGCCGCTCTCTCCGAGCGGCGGCAGTCCCGGTGGACAAACGAGCGTCACGGGCGCGTCGTTAACACCGTTTATCAAACTATTGTCTGGGGCGTTTTTCCCGTATTACGGCAGCCATGGATGAAAAATGAGCCACGGCGTCGGTTTCTTTTTGTTCGAGTAGCGTCACTGTCGCCCGGCCGGCGCGGTCGTTGGTCCAGTCTCCAAGATTACTTTGTCCGGTCGCTGACGGTTGCTGGTCTCAGTCTCAGACGGGCAGCAGTGGCTGGGCTTCTACCCGCCGCGCCGGGAGGAGACCCATTGTCGGACATTTCCGGACGGGTAACGGCTGGCCACTGGCCACCGAGTGGATTTGGTCTCGTTCCGGGAGCTCTCTCGGAGTGGGCAATGTCGGCGGCGGTGACCCCCGCGGTCGGAACTGCGTGCTCTGCCCGCCTGCAGAGGAGCGGTCGCCATCCGTCACCCGTCCAGTCCGCCGCGCTGACAGATGAAGGACGTTTACCGGCAGCGCGGCGCGTCCAGCGCCGGCCTATTTGGACAAAAAAGTCGTGCAGGAATGTTAAAGATGTTTGCCCACCGGCCGTTTGGGTCTGGCGAATGTGCAGCGTTTCATAACAGTCAATCTATTCGGGCCGGAGGCGGACGAATGGCCGTCACATATCGATTCCGGGAGAAACCAGACATAAAGCAGGCTATCCGCGAGTTTATTGATGCAATATTGCTGGAGCATTCGCTTGGTCCGATCACGGCTATTATCTTAACTCTTTCAAGGCTCAACAGGGAGGGTACCTAATCCACATTGGTTCAATGTGCCCTTAGTCGATGTTGGAGCTATTGTTGGTGTTCGTGGAGCATGCAATTCAGTCGAAGTCCTACTTAGCTTTGCTTTAAGTTTTCTCATTAATTAAGAGGTTGTTCTCCGTCGGAGTATTTGCGAACCCGGCGGCAATTAGCCTCCAAGAATGCCAGTAACGATTCTCATATCCCAGTCACGCCCAGAGGCTTAGGCTAACTTCAATTACAGAGCTCAACCCGGATTATACGGCTGCCCCGGCTATTTTAAGGCATCCGCGCCCACCCGTGCCGGTGTGGGATGAATTTCAATCACAGATTCCTCATGGCCTAGTGGGTCTGGTACCTGCGTAAAACGTGCACACCCCATGGCAGCTAACTTTACCATACAGGGAACGGCATCATTGCATTCCTGAATGATACCTGCCAGGATCTGACATCACACGCCGTAGTAGCATTTCTGCGGGCTGAGCTCACATCTGCGGTCGGCGTGAGCGTGCTGCCGCCGTCGACTTCCGGTCGAGCCCGCTGGCTGGCCGGTGCTCTCGGGCGGTGTGGTGGAGAGATAGAGATACCGGAGCGCACTGTACTAGCCGCGAGGCTCGTTAGTCCGTCAGGCTGTGCAGAGACCGTCAGCACTAGCAGTCAATTGACCCGGCTTCGGCGCGGCTGCGGGTACCTACGTGAGCCGTGAGGTAACCTCTGCCAGAGGCTCAGAGGATGCGCAAAGCGGCGTTAGGCTGATGGGCGCAACTTTCTGTGAAGCATTTGTCGAAGCCCGTGGGAGCGCCGTCTGCACTATCAGAGCGCTGTCCCTCGCCAGCACTTCCGCTCCCCAATCTGCCAGAGCTGTCACCGGTCACCGGCTGACCTGGCGATCGTCCGTCCGTCCGCGGTCTGTCCCTGCCGCTGACGGTCCGTCATCGGTCAGCTGACGGCCCGTCAGCCGTCCCGTCATCCCCTGCGGCGAGGCAGATAACGCGCAGTAGGCTGCAGGAACCAAAATGTGTCGATGGAGCTTCGAGCCATGCACGATTGCGCGGAGAAGGCCTCGAAGCGTCGCACTGCCGAATGGGTCTCACGTTGATGTCTCACACAACTGCGGCACCATTTGAAAGCATGCAACTTTCCCGATCGCGAATATCCCCGGTCTCACAATACGTCCCCAGGCAATTTAACTACTCTTTCAGGGCTGCGAATTACGGTAGTTCTGTCTGGCCGATTAGCTTAGTTCTGCCTGTGCCCGGCAGCGAATGCTGAATATCCTGCCGTCTACGGCTATGCACAAAGGCTGTCGGAAAGGCATTGTCGCCGTCCAAGTGACTATCTCCCCATTATAAACTGCTTCAGCTCGCCATTGTCCCGTCTCAGCAGACCACGGAAAATGAAACGTCAGCCGTTCAGCGTTCACAGGGCGCCCATATTCGGGCTGCGGCTCGGTGAACTCGACCGTTCTGCCGCGTTTGACCGTTAGCTGGAATAGGACGATGTGCTAATCATGTGTCAAACTTTATCATCGACTGGTGGCGGTCTTCGGTCGATCAGCGGCCGAAGCTCTCGTTGAGGGGCACCGAGCTAGGTGTGACGCCTCCCCCGGTCGGGTGCGGGCAAACGGTGTGTCTGTGTCGCCTTCTCCGGTCGACTGTGGATGCAGAGGGGTGGGTCTGTGCCGCCGGTGTGCAGCCATCATTCTCCCCGCACGTCAGCCGCCCAGAATAATGGGCCGCGCGCAGGAAACCCATGGAATATCGATGGCGGGCGATGAGCTCAGGTCGGCGCAGCAGTGAATTGGATCGGAATGGACCGGTCGCCGTCCTGTGTACACGGATTTCCGTCCAGGGTTTCGAGAGCTCAGTTATCAGCTGCGTTTGTCGGCCGTTGTCCTGGATTAGCTACTTATCGTCCTACTACCTACTCCTACTGAAGTGTTGGTCTATTTTCGCTGGTCGCCGATAGAACAAATACCTAGGTACTTGTTATGTACCCAGAAACAGCGAGCCTCGTTTTGAAGGAGGGACATCATCTTTGATATTTGTTCAGCAACCATCTGTCGAGAATTTCTGCGCGAGGTAACTTGGGCGCCTACTTAGCTTACTTAGCGGGATTTTCTTGAATGAGTCAGACATGTTGCATGAGGCCCAGGTCCTGTTCTCCCTTTAGTGACGCTGGCTAGGTGTTGTGTCTGAAAATGTGCCACTTATACACACCCATGCTATCTCGTTAAGGAGTGGCCAAATTCCCAGAAAATCTCTTCGAAAACTTGTTTCAAGTCTCGTTTGTTTGTCATAAATTATATAGGGAATGATATGTGCTTAGACTTGTCACTTGTTTATCAAATGTTTGTGGCTGAGGATTATTGCTAAATAATGTACTGAATCCATTCATACGTCCTATCATGTCGAATAACTAAAATTAGTCACTTTATTCATGAACCGTTTAATCCCAAATAAACAGCCTCATAAAATCGAATGATAATGCAGTTTCTTTAATCGCCCTCAGATCTGAATCGCAAACAAAACTTTTCGCAATCACTTTTGATAGCTCTCACTTTTACTTCTGTCTGTTTCATGAATCGCTTTCTCAGAACTAAACATTTGCACACTTTATTTCGAGCGGGTGAGCGTTTTCCATATCAACTCGGCTTGTCACATCTTTATATTGCGGTTGATTTGGTTTCTGACCCGATCTTCCAAACAGTAGGGCTCGTTTATTGACGTGCTCCGGTCGGTGTCGACTGAGTTGGGTGCTATCGCCGGCGGCCGGCACTCGGCTACAGGACGCCGTTGCTGCGGCGGCGACCGTACCGTTTATTTACGATGCGTAATCTGCGGTGCTTTAATTATCCGCACATCGGCGGGACTCTGGCGGCGTGGCGCGCCACCCTCCCGTCGATTTCATCAGCTCCGTTTACTACGGCGTGCCGGAGGAAGCTGCTCACTGCTCAGCTCAGAGTGTAATTGGGCGCCGGTGCCGACTCCGCGCCGCTGCCGTCGCGCCGTCGCCGATCCTGTGCAGTGTTTACGGCGTGTGGGCCGCCCGTCGCCGCCGGCAGGGGGTCGCAGCCACCCCGCTGGCGATCCCGCTCTCGATATTGTCCTTGAGTGAGGCGGACCGGCGGCTGGCGTCGCGAGTCGGAGCTGTGCCGGCGCCGCCGCCGGGTGGCTGTTTACAGAGCTGACCCGCCCCCGCCCCCGCCCCCGCCAACCCTTCACTGGGTGTGCAGGGGCCGTCTCCAGTGCGGGCCGGACTGGCTGTTTGGGACGGGCCGTTTGAGCAGTAGATGGACAGTGCCTGGCACCACCACCGCCAGAGGCGAGCTCTGACCATTCTTCATCGCTGTGGAGACGAAAAACGACCGGCGGGGTCACAGACCTCCTCGAGACAGCGCCATACGCACTAACAACTCAGACCGATCCGACTGTGACGGCTGAGAGACCACAGACACGCCGAGACGACCTCCGACCCGGCCAGTCTCGAGTCTCGTGACGGACCACTTCCCGGACGGACAGCCGGCCGGACGGATGGGCGCCGCAGCCACGTGCCCTCTCTTCCTTTGTGACCGCTCGCACGCGCGTCTCGCGGCGAGGTCACAGAACTTGGCCTCCGGCGCGGCACGACCGGCTCGCTCACGCCGCTGCAGCCGTCACGTGGCCGCTCGGGCACGTCTCGTCACGTCACGCACGTCTGGTGACGTGTCACGAGACGTGAGACAGTCCCGCCTGGCGTCTGGTGCGCGGGCTGGGCAGCTGGCGGCGGCGGCGGCGGCAGTGGTCGGCCGACATGGCCAAACATGGTGTGCCGGGCGTTAGAGCCGGTATCATAACAGACGGGCTGGGCGCCCGAGGGCGGGGCGCCGCACTGAGCGCTCCGGCTGACCACCAGAGGTTTATCAGAGCATCGCGCCGCCGGCCGGAGCGGCCTATCGCCACACCATCGCCGGCTCTCTCGTCAGCCGCGTGCTCAGAGGCTTGAGGAAATTAATTCAGTACATGCGTAATCATGTGCATTCATGGTTTTTCCGGAGTCACAACATGAGACACTTTGGATTGAAGTCATTGTGGATTCATGACGACACCATGTTTGGTGCCGCCCTGTGCAGGCATCAGATGCGATCACAATCAACAGGCGATCGGTTCCGCGCAAGGCGACCAACAACTGTATCTTCCGTGTGAACTAACGTGGCGCGATCAGCTCAGCCACTGTTTGAACTAGCTCGCCGTGTCGGATCCGGCTGGTCCAACGGCTTCCGCCTGAGTCCTGCTGCGCTGCCGTACCGGGAACCTCGAGCCTGTGCAGTGTGCAGAGCGAGGTCGGCGGTGGGCCGAGCCCCCGGCTGGCCACTCCCTGCACCCGTTAGGGCGGCGACGCCCGTCCCTCGGCGCTGCTGGACGCTGGTGCTCTGGTTTAAACAACCAGCGCTGTTCGACATCGCCCGGGCGGGAGATATATCTGCTGGTGGTAGATGAAGCTCCGTAATGCGTGATTGGCTCTTACGGAGCATTGCAGTTGGCCCGGTGTGTCAAATGTGGGAGGAATGTTGATGGTTCCGCATGTCCAACTCGCTGACCCGGCGTAATGTGGCGAGAAGTGGCGAAACCGAAGCGGAACGTTCCGAGCTGTGATAGAATGCGGCCGTCATTTCAAAAATGCTGACATGGACCGGGACGTTACGAGCTAAATGATATATTTAGCGGGGCATGCATGTTCCGCTTCCGGAGTCGCTATATGTATGGGGTGGTAATTAGGCCGTGAATGTGTTGCAGGGACCCCCGTTGCCGGCGGATGCCGCTGTCACGACTTGCTGTCATTGTTCGTGCCCTCGGTGCCCGTGTCGGGCCGTTAGTTGCGTAACCAGACGACCCGTGAAGCCGTCGGCCATGGCCCGTCTGACCCGACACCCTGCTCTCTGCCACAGACGGCCCGCACGCTGCTGGCGGTACTGGGCCGGCCCGGCGGCGGCCGCGGCCACACTGCTGAACAGACTGATCAGCGCGAGCGAGCCACCGGCCGCCGGCCGGCCCGCCGAGCCGCCGCCGCCGCCGCCGACTCCGTCACCGGGGCGACAGGAGCCGCCCCCTCGGTAAGCATAACTCCGTCTCCCAGTGGGTGACAGCCGCATCGCACAGGGCGGGAGCTGGGGCAGTGCTCTGCTGGAAAATACACCACTTGCGTGTGTTTTTAGTAGGTACTCGCACAGTCCTTGGAGAGTGACATGATGGTGCTGCTTTGCGCGGCACCGAGCCAGATTTTCCCTGCGCCGACTGACGCCGCCTGTCGTTATTGTAACGCTGCCGGGACACCTTACACCGACCTGAGGACGAACAACATCCCCGTGCGATTGTGACAACCTTGTGGGGTGTTGGTTTTGGCGTCGTTTCCTGGAGGCGGCGGCTTATCCTGTCCCCTGTCTCCGAACCTCCCTCTATAACTCCCGAGGGAAGTCGGCTATCACTGACAGGGGAGCTCGGCCGGGCCGTATTTGCACGGGCCCGGCCGATAGTCGTGGGCGGAGGGAACCGATAGCCGTGGGCAGGGACCGATTCCGCCGGAACGGGCCGCGTGCGTGGACGAGTTTGTTCGCCGCACGTAACGCCGCCGCGTCGGAGACGATTTTGGTGCGGCTCGGCGCGGAGATAGGGCCGCAGTCGGGTTTGGTCGTGCCGTGCTGATGATATCCGGTGCGTGTGAGAAACGTCCACCATTTCGGCCGGTCGTGACAGGATGGGGCGTCACGCACCGCCCGGGCGCCCGGAAAGGGCGACAGCGAGATAAGTCTGTCGCAGTAAGCTGTGATGGGCTTGAAGTTAATAACGTAACTGTAACTGATAAATATTGAAATGTCGGCGCTGGCAGTGCGACGCAGGGCAGCGTGAAGCCTGTGGGGAAATATGGGACACATTCCGGGCCCAGGAGTAACTATATCCGGTAGGAGCCGGATCAGTGCGGGTGAGCTGAGCGGGACGAGGGTGTTACCAACCAAGCGGACAGAGCATACGGTCGGCTCGCGGGCAGCATGGCTGATGACAAGTTGATGGTCTTATATTGCAACATTATCCGACGGATCCGACCTTGATGCTGAATGTGATGTTGGTGCGGAGAATATGAGAAATCATTCGAATATTTAAATGTTGTCAGACTTCAGAGTCGTCAGAACAGAGTCGCAAATTATGAGCCGTCATTTCATGATGCTCGTTTTAGCTGATGGATCCAAGTTGCAACGGTGCTTTCAGGCGATTCCACTTAACTTCACAGAGTTGTAGAGTGTTAAATTGTCCATACTAATCGCTACCGAACTTCAGTCTTAGTTCAGCGCTCGGTCGAAGTTCCAATTCTTGACCTCTTTGTTTAGCGTCCGGCGCGAAGTGCGGCCTCGTTCCCAAATCTGAGATGAAGCGCAGTACCTTTATGGGTCGACAGGATGACCACTGAGCGCCTCTGTTGACGCGTTATCTCGCTGTGGAACGTTCTCGAGAGGGGCTCACACACGTCACATCTCGCTGCCGTCCGGTTATCGGTCCCTGCTCCTCTCGCCACCGCTCCGCCCCCGGCCGGTGACCTGCGCGGCATGATTACGCCAGGACGCGGTGCTGATGTCAGCCCGGTGTTGGTTTCCCGCCGCCCCCTGTTGACTGCCACTTGCTTTGAACGCGGGCCGTCCCAGGTAGAACTATGGCAGAAACTGGAGCTAGCCGCTCCCCGAGTCTGAGACGCACCTGGCTACGGGGCCACCCGACCCGGCCCGTCTCGGGTGGGGCGCTGGCGCCTTCGGCCGCCGCCCCAGCGAGACCACGCTTCCGGCTTCTCCGATGTACCAAACACGCTGAGCTGACGGTCTGACACGGCCCACGCTGAACTGACGCCTGACACGGCCGGCGCCACGAGCACCCGTCGCCGGGTCAGCGGCCGCGGCCGTCGGCGCTGACCGATAGCGGCCCGGTCCTCTCCCCAATGCCCACTGGTCAGCCGCGTACCGATATGTTATCGTAGCCTGTATGTTTGACACAACACACTTATCATCTTAGGGGCGTGGCCATTCCACGCGATTGCTGCATTCCACGCCGCCTGGATGCCGTGTGTCTCGATGTCCGGCCGAGGATGGACGGTCGGTGGTGGCGCGCGCCTGCTGATGGGGTCCTCTCTGTCGTTTCAGCGCGAGTCCAGTCCGGGCCGCAGCCCGTCGGCGTGCACGGGTCCTCCGTCGCCGACGGGCAGCCCGTCGGAGGCCTTACAGCGCCGGCTGCGGCGGCTAGACCGAGCCAAACTCTACCTGCTGGAGCAGCCGGGACCGCACAGCTTCCTGCTGGCCACCGACACGCCCGGACACAAGTACCGCGTCACACTGGGACCGCAGGTGAGTGTAGGGACGCGGCGGCACACCGCGGGACGCTGGGGGCATGGCGGACGGTCACAGGTGATGTGTCTGGGACTGTGCTCTGACCTGTGATGGTGAGAGAGGATGGGAGTGGCGGCCTGTGGATGGGTCTAATGCTGATCCGTGGTAGGGATTGTTTCAAGCCTCTGTGTGTGTGATTCGGACCATCGAAGAATACGAACCTAAGACGGCAGAAGGCGGATGGCGGAGGACGGCGTTTGGGGGACATCGGACGGCGCAGAACGGGGTAGGGGGACGCTATCGGGCTGACGGCTGGTGTGACGGTCCCGTGGGACTGGGACGTGCCCCAGAGCTGGGCACGTCCCAGTCCTCTGGCGGTGTTATTGAAGAGCTGCGCCGAGCTGGTAATTCGAGCACCCGCGAATCGGCCCTCGCCGGCTGCGGTAAACAAATTTATCACCGTTTCGACGGCCGCTGGCGACGTTTATTCAGACCAGACGGAAACTTGGTCGCAGCGTGCTGCACGCGCAAAGTGGCACACGTTACGGAGCCAAATCGGGACTCCATCGCATCGACAACATGCACCTTTTGCTCATGTTTATCGTTAACAATTTTAAATGTCACAAAATTAGATATACTTTGGGAAAACGGAGGTAAACTTGCGGCTTTTCAAGCACGCTGCTATAGCGACTGACGTAGTGTTTGCGTGACCGGCTCAAAGTTTCAGGGACAAAAGCAATCTCGAGCGATCGATACTTTCTCTGGGGATCGCGTGCAATCACGTCACATTGCTGTCGAGACGTCGATGCCGCAGGTATTCTTGGCTCAATCGATCACCCGTCGTTTAGGTAGCCGGGTCGTCCTCTATCGTGGGTGGTTGTTATCAGGGACGGAATGCGATCGAACATTTATGTGTTGCGTGATGGCCTTCTAAAAGCTGACGTGCAATAACATTTTACCTCTTCTGTATCTGAAGCGTCTTTCCTCCAATATTTTGCTATTATTTTCGGCCTCGATTTCGTTTAAAGTAATGCACCTATAGCTTGTTTGTTTTTTTTGGGGCTCTCGTTAGATGACACGAAAGCGGTGGGCAGAGTTTGATCGGGGCGATTTATGCTGTTTTCTATTTAAAGTGATGTATTAAAGGGACCCTCCCACCTTAACATTAGTTTTGAGTTGAGATAGCCAAGTTTGCGGCCAGGCTCAGAAACCACCATTTATCCTGGTCGCAACCCCCGCAGCTTTATGGTGTTCAAGAAATTTCTTCCCTTTACTTGCAGGGTGGGACCAGCGTGGTCCCTATCTCTTAACCATTACGGGAATCTGATGACGTCATCAGGCTTTCGAACGTCCGTCATTAATTTGACTAAAACGTTTTGTAGCACACGGTGGTATATGCTGCTTTGCGCGCAACAAATGCCGCACTTTCAAATAAAGTCGCTAGGAACAGCGGAGATCCCAAAAAGTAAGCAAAAGGAAAAGTCTAATATCTTGAAAACCGGTGAATATTTTTCGATGAAATTTGGTAGATATTCGTTTTTGCTCTTTCTGAACCGAGCGACATCACTTTCATGCCAATTCATTAACTTTTTTGAAGGTGGGAGGGTCCCTTTAACATCGTGCGTCGTTTCGAAGCCTGATATCACTTTTTACGGCAGTCTGTCTCGGAATAGAAAACAAACGATGCTCCAAACTCCGCCGCGAAATCATCAGGCTGGATGTCCAGTTGACCGCTCGTGTAACTAAAGGATTACGCCGTGGCGGCGATAGCGGCGCAGTGACAGTGAGGAGGCGAGCCTGGCGCTTACGCGCGCGCTCTGTGCGTCTGTATCGGAGTGAGCGCGTGCCGGCGCGGCGCGGGCTGCCGAAAATAGCCCGGGGCGCCGGTGGCTGCCACCGGCCGGCGTGTGTTTTGTCGTTCAACTGCTCTCTCGGCACGGCGCGGTGATGGGCTGTCGAGTCGGTCCGCGTCTGTGCGGCGCTCCCCGGCCCGGTGGAGCCAGGGAGGGGTGATTGGGGTCAGGGCGGAGCGGAGCGGAGCGCCGTGCACCGAGGGGCGCTCGACGGCCGCAGTTAGCAGCGTGACCCAGTTCAGGGGTGGATCGATGTGCACCCCGCACGAGATGTTGTGACGGGCCCACTGGTTTTCGCCGGAGCTGCCGGAGTGAGGGAGTGGTACTGGGGCCGTGCACAGCCTCCACGCACTGCGCTACGCGCCGCCGCAGATGTTAACTCGCGCACCTATGTAGGTCAGTCGAGGGCCGACCGGGTGGGCCCGACTGGTCGTCCGCACGAGTCGCTGGTAGTCTGAGCTGACCTCCTGCTCCTGCGCCGGGCGACCCGGTCGAATGGGCCCGTAACCCTCCCCTTTGATCCCTGAGTGTCTCTAGCTGGGACTAACTGCCATTGCAGCCGAGAAACATGATGCATTGGTCAATGCGTACTGCTTATGAATACCGAGGAACAAAGACCGGCACTGATGTTACCATATACAGAGGCCCACAAATCAACGTATGAAGACGTTTCCCAACGTCCAATCGTGCGGTAACGTATGCACATGGCCGAATGTCTCATATTCGACGACTGCATGCTGACTGAAGCCGGCACTGATTTGTGGACGTATTTATTGTGCACATCTGAAGGCAATATTTTCAGCACTTATGGTAAGCCCTTGCACACGTATCGGCAATGGTGGTTAAAACACGTGCTCGGCAACCAACACCGTCTGTATGTGCATGATAAGCGTAACCATACGAACGACTTGACTGCCGAGAGCTCGCATGCATAATTCAGCGCCAATCGATGTTTTCTGACATCTATACAGGGAAGGGGACCAGGATACGCTACCGTTCCAAATACCGTTCAGGATCGACAGGCGTGAATGCCTAATGCTGCGGACCAAATCATGCCCTTGTTTGATCAGAAAATTTGCGCGTTGCTACGTGTTGAATCGGGACGAATTGATGTCCGAGAAGCGTGAAGTCAAGTCGCATCTGGGCCGTAGCGACAGTCAGTCAGCTTGCAAGTGAAATGTCATTCTGATTCTGATTGGCGTTGACATTCGTGGCTGATTCAAGCGCAAATCCATGTTCAGTGAATGTCATTGTATGATTGAAACTCTTCTGCCAGAGACGTGAAAGCTGCCGTGTGATTTAAAGGCTATATGGAGTATGGATACGACGCCAGGTTTTTATGTTTCTGACCGGAAACACCAATCGAAACTCAACAGTCAGCAGCCATACTACACCATTTTCGAACCAAGTTAAGACAAATGAAACCCAATTTAAAACTGTTGATTTCTGAATTAAAACAATCGAAAAATGGGTTAAAACACGTGACATTCAGCTTAAAACAACTGACACGCGAAATCACGTGTTGGTCGTTTTAAGCTGAATGTCACGTGTTTTAACACACTTTTCGATTGTTTTAATTCAAAAATCAACAGTTTTAAATTGGGCTTCATTTGTCTTAACTTGGTTCGAAAATGGTGTAGAAGAGCATCCTTATTCCTTGGTTATGAGTTATCACCTAACGCCACCCACTTTTAATAGTGTCCGCAATCGCGAGGCACTGTTCGTTTGCTGTCTGTTTGTGGACCCACCCCTCTATTGGACACCGCGGCCCATGACTGCCGGCAGACAGTGCCCCGCCCCGGCGCCGCGCCGCCCCCGCCCCCGCCCCCGCCCCTGCCGCCACTGTGTCTGCCAGGTCAGTCATATCGACCGGCGTGAAGCCTTTGGAGTCGGTCAATGTATTCGGGGGCCGGGTGAGGCTGGGCTGGTCCGAATTGATCCATGAACCACACGGCAACACGGCGCGCCGGACCAGCGCCGGACACTCTGCGCTCGATGGGCATGGGTTATGGGCTATGCCATAGAGTAGCTACAGAGCCATAGAGATATATGTGATATTCAACGGCTACGCGAATCGGACATGGACTATACTTGGGAAGCGTACGGGAAGCGTACGCGGCGCTTTTGGGTTTCACATACCAGTAGAAATATGGTGTAACGAGCGGACGAGTGACTCCTTATTTCGTGACTCTTCTAGGGATCACGAGCTTGACAGTCCCACTTTGCGCCCCATGCATCCGCTAGCGTCATCCAACGTTGACTTTTAGCTTGTATCGCTGTCACCAACTGTTTGCTGACTTGACGCACAATGCGACGTAACACACATAGCTTATCTGCGGGGATTTCTGGTCCTATCGCACAGCGGGAAAGGAAAGTGACGTTCGCAGCGGTTATCGCACACTTCCGGATCAATATTGGTTTGCTGGACGTTACACGATGTGACGCCACGGTACGAATTATCGCCGATAACCTAGTTTATTAGTTCGCTCACGTTGTCACGGACGTTTCGTGTGCACTTCTATACTCTCCGCCTTCCTACTCGGCTGATCGCTGGGCAGCGGGCCAGTCCCTCCCCCCCCCCCATCCCACCGCTGCTCTCGGTCGGTTTGATTTGATACCACCACCGCGCTACAGCGCTCGTCGCCTCGCTCGAGCGACTGCCGTACTACCTGGCTCTGCTCCAGCGCGTGGAGCGCGCTCACGTCTCCCGGGGACGGGCGCGGCGCCGGTCGCCGCGTGGGGCCGACCCTCGCAGAGAGAGAGACTCTGAAAATAAACGGAGCCGGCCGACGCCGACGGACATTGGGACGGACGGGGACGGAGAGGCGGACCGGATGGGAGTGGGGACGCTCCGGGAGGAGACGGTGGCTGGGATGTGTCACAGAGCGCTGTCTACTGGCAATGTCCGGTCTGCGCCAGTTCCGCCCCGCTAATGACGCCGCCGCTGATGATGATGACGACGGTGACGGTGATGTTAATGACGGCGTCAGTGATGTAGATTGATGCACCTCTGGAACAGCTCGTGATGATGGTCTGCTCACTGGGATGTGCTACTCGGGAGACCGCTGGACAGGGATGAACCTATACTCTGCCGATACCCGCAGAGGCACTGATGGGAGCGCCGCCGCCATTTCCGATGTGTGCCGATTGGGTCGGCCGGGTGAT